CCGAGCACCCAGGACGGACGAGGGGTGTTGGGTCATATTCGGGCTTACGTAAAGTTTTTAATGGCAACATGAAGCCTCGTAAGCCCGAAGGTAACTATTTGACTGAGGATGATCTTTTGCAGCGTCTTCCTTCCCTTCTGCAGCAGTATGGACTATCTGTGTCCGGGAGTGCTCCAGAAGGGGCATCCATGTCGCAGCACACACCGTCTGTACCACCTCATTATGAGCTTCAGCGTAGTAGCAAGGCGTCTACAGATTTTGTTGACGTCGCCGGTGTCACTGAGGTACATATATTTTGTAATTAAGGTTTCCCGTTTAGTTTACATTTACTTGTTTCCGAAAATAGTTTACTAATTGTATTTTGTAGGTTTCTCCTTGTTACTTGAGGATCTCTGATCCATTAGATTACATAGTGGCACATGGATCGGTTTCCCACGTGCACTGGGAGATATGGTGCACGGTGTTCCCCTCCTTCCCCACTAGGTTAAGGTCTCTGTGACCCTTGTGCTTCCTGGAATGGGTGAATATACCATTCCTTGTCCGACTGAGCATATAGAGACTGTGGCCGATTGCTTGGGGAGCTTCGTTGCATGGCCTAAGTCATTGGTGGGCATTGGAGATGTAAGTAAATAAATTTAGTTTTCTTTATTAAACATCATTTGGGCTGTGTTTCATATATAAATTTTTTAAAAATATTCGTAGCCCCCAGTGCAGACGGCTCAACATGACGACTTCTCATCAAGCAAATCTCGTCCCATTCTCGGGGTACGTCCCACTGCTCCTAGATCTCCCGTACAAGATGTTGTTGACCAGAGCTTATACGTCACTTTCGGGCCGAGGTGCAGAGAGTTGTGTCAGTGGCTGACACGCACATCTGCTTTACCTACCATCAGCGTTATTCTCAACCCTGAGTCTATGCTCTATCCGAATGAGACGGAGCTGAGGATGCGCCCGGAGAATATACGTGAGTTCATGCGACGAGAGGAGGTGGATCAGACCATCATCATTGTTTTCTTTAGGTATGTCAAGGACTATGTACGAATAAATTACTTTTGTAAGTATAATTATTTCTTATAATTGTAATTCTTGTTTACATGTGAAACTACTAGATTGCTGTACGATCATATGATGGAGCTGGACATTGCGTCTGTCGGGTTGTTATGTCCAGAGAGCATAGCATACGTGGTAGAATTTGGAGATCG